GAGCCGGGCGGGCGCGAGCCCGGAGCCCATCCCCGGAAGGGGCTCGGCGCCCCGCCCCGAGCGACGGCGCCCGCGAGCCGACGGCTGCCGCTCCGAGCCTCTAGCCCCGGCTGGCGCCGGAACGCCGGGACTGAGCCAGACGCTTCTGCGGGGCCCTCAGAGAGCGCACCGAGGCAAGTGTGGCCCGGTAGCCATTTTAAGAACGAGGCCCTGGGAGGGCGCCACTACGGCGGCCTGCAGGGTTCACGGGGCCCCTCCGGGGACTACGGCGGATCGCGAGGGTCAGGCGGCCGGCCACGGGCTCCGCGGCGGCTGGAAGCGGTCGCGGCGGGCGGCCGAGGGCCGGCTCTTGCGGTTTCCCACAGACCCCTTGTTGGGTATCTTCTTTGCTGCCTCTTAATCATTCAGCCTGGAGAAGCACTGCTTTTGAAGTCGTTGGAGCGCTTGTCCCGCCGGGGGTAAGGGGACTGCGGTACCCCGGAGCGAGGACGTAGTTCCCTGCGCACGGTGGCGGACCGACGCGACGCTGCCGCAGGTAACCCGGTTCAGGCTGCCGTCGCGGGCCACGCCGCCCGTGATGAAGTTCCCGCGCTTGGGGAGGATTTTCTCCCATCACACGGGCTGTTGCCGTTGCGCGAGACTTTTAGACAGTGCTGCCCCCCTGCCAGTCGAACTGACTCCTGCTTTTCGTCGGATGCTGAGATATGAAATACGTTGCGGAGGATGGACGGATGACATCGGCAGGCAGTCCGGACTCCCCAGTTTGGTTCTTTAAGTTAGTCTACCCTTTGTTAAACATTAACGGGGGAAAGATAGTAAGCAGGTTGCCTTCCTTCCTTGCCCGTCTTCTCGTATAAAGAAAGATGTTAAGCAGATAAATGATCGCATGGCCGCAAGAGTAAGACTCCCGCCTGGCCGGGGAGGGTGGAACTAAATAGGCGTGGAGTAGAAGATCTGCCCATTAGTTGTGAAAAACAGAGAAACCTCCAGAGCTCAGGGCAGTTTTCCTACCACATTTTCTGAACCCCAGCTGTCTTTGGTGGGAGGAAGCTGGTGGTGTGCATGAACTAGCGGAGAGTAGGTGCCTGTTGTGTAGTGTAGTCTCAACAGTGAAACCCTAATGCAGTGCTTCGTAATCAGTGACCATCGCAGACTACTGACGCACATTGCTCATGTGGTGAACATAAAAATTCAAGCAAAGATTGAGAATGTTGCTTTTTTCCTGACTTTAGAACTCTACTGATCTTTCTGGCTAGCCAGATTGGAATTAACACAAGACTCCACTCTGCACAGGAACCACAGTTGTGCTTTAACATCTCAATTCCATTGGATTGTATATTAAAACTGTCGTGAGTCCATTTTTAGTTTAATGAGTATTCTGTTATTAATGTTCCTTACATGGGTTGGTCCCTCCCCCCATGAGCACTCTTCAAGCACTTTGTGGATTTTCCTTTATGCTTTATGTAATTCTGCGGTTTGGATTTTGCTGTACGGGTTTTCTTAGGATCTGCAACTCTAATATGTATGTGATCATGTCACTGAAAAGCAGGAAAAGCTCTGCTTCATAGATTTGTTGTTGACTGATGAAATCTGGCTATCTAATGGTATTATTAATCTGCTCAGGCTACCATAACAAAATCCTACAGACTGATAGCTTACGCTGCAGAAAAGTGTTTCTATAGTTCTAGAGCCAGGGAAGTCCAAGGCAAGGTTTTATAAGGGAGGGCTCTCATAGTTTGTTTGTTTTTTTAATTCTTTTTTCCCCATAATTTTATTGAGAAACAAACAGCAATGAGACAGTTTCAAACCAAATTGGTAGAACAGTTTCAATAATTAGCACATTGCATACATTCTTCCTAGTGGTTAATTGCTGTACAAGATGCGGATTTGATATCCTATTTACAAACACCATTAGAACAAATCCCTCTATTCATTAAGAGAATGTAACTATATATCTATCCTAATCACTTTGAATACACAGATACCAAATGGACATTCATCTGTATCCCCTTTTTTTGTTAAGTTCCATCATTTAAATATTATATGTGTATAAACTCAGCAAAATATTCTAAAAGAGTTCAGAAGTCCATAATAGTATTGGGTCTTCCGTTTCACTGGCAGTGTCAGAAATTGTTGACCTGAGTCCCCTACAGCTCAACATAACAGCATGGCTTTACTTCTCATACTTCATTTTTATACTTTTCTACTGGATGGTTAAGACCAAGGTAAAGCAGGACCTATGCAACAAGAGTTGTAGCTTTTGGGTCTGATAAGGTCAGTGAAATCCCGTCTGGATTTATCCTGAGATCCTGAACCTCAGATTGTAGAACCTTTGTCAGTGTCAGCCATGTGGATGAGTCCCGGCCATTGCTTGGCCAGTGTGCTCTCTGTGAAAGCCTGAGAGAATGTTTTCTCTCCATGTGACTCTCCTTAGGCACACTCTACATCATTGATCACTTTCCTTTTTGGCCCCATAATCTCCTTGATCAGAAAATTTGGGACACTACCGAGTTACATGACGTTACAGTACAAGTTCTCATATGTCCTGAGTCTTAAGTGACCTTGGAAGGCTAGGGCCAGAATGTTGGCTTTCCTTGCGGCCCTCCTTTTTCTCTTATTTTGGTCTGCAAACTTAGGTTGTTAACCATCCAGAAGACAAGCTTATTGTTATTACCGTATAACCTAGGCTGTTAAGCTTAACCTCACTATCTGTCTGAGGCTCTGATAGCTTTGCACCTGGTTTGCAGGTGGCTGCCGTCCCCTCGTGGTGGTGGTGGGGGCAGCTAGAACATGAGCTCTCTGCAGCCTCATATTATAGGGCAGCACTCCTATCAGGTTGGGCTCCCGCCTGCATGACTTTTTAACCTTGATTGCTCCTACCTGCCTTGTCTCCAGATACAGTCATGTTGGACATTAGGGTTTCAGTGTGTGTTTTGGGGAGAAATGATTCAGTTCACAGCACTAGTTTTGCAGCCTTTTCTCAGACCCCAATCCCTTTGACTGCTCTGGTATGATTGACTGCCCTCTTTTTCTTTCCTCTGTCACTATTTTGACCTGCTTCCCCCCTCCTTTTCTTCTGACTACACATTTCTGTTATTGATTCTTCTGTCACAGGAAATAAAGGTCACTTCCTTTTTCTCAATGACAGAAACAAAGAACTAATATTTTTTAGCCTGTCATGGGCCAAGTATATTATGTATTAATTCAGCCATACAGTCAGTCATTAAATGATTTGCATTGAATGCTGTCTTTGTGCTAAGCACTAATCAGGGCACTAAAAAAGATGAAATTCCTACTTTATAGCATTTCATTCTGGGTATAAACATAAAAAATAAAGGTGTAACATGTCAGATGATGGCAAGTGCTGTGAATAAAGGTAAACATGGGATGAGAAAGGGGTGTGGCCAGGGGAGGCCTTTCTGATTGGATGACATCTCAGCAGAGGCCAGATTCCAGTAGAAGTCAGAGCTTTTCATGCAGAGATTTTAGCGGTGTCCATGCCCTGAGGGGAGAGCGTGGGTAGTGTCTGAGGCCTGTGCTGCTGAAGCAGCCTAACGCAGCAGGCGAGGGAGCCAGAGGGAAAGCGTGGGCCAGATCGCATGGGCCTGGGAAGCCTGGGAAGCTGAAGAAACTTTTCAGCGGGCTCAGATGAGAGCAGTATGACTTGCATTTCAAAATAATAATTCCAACTGCTGTAGCATGCGGGAACCAGGCACACTGGTTAGGGGGCTACTAAAATAGTCCAGATAAAAGAGGTGATGGTGGTAGCCATGGAAGAGTTTAGAAATGGACATGAGGCCTACAAAACCATGCCACTGAGTATGGCTTTTATAACTATTAAGTAATTTTAAACATCTTTTTCTTTAAGAAGAATTCTGTGAAAATGACAGCAGTGATAGTTTTTTCAGTCCCCATACTAAAAAAAAAAAAAAAAAAAAAGACAAAACAGCTACATGAAAAGCCAAAATCCAGGCCAGGGAGGTAGTTCAGCGGACTAAGCACCTGCTTAGGCAAGCACAGGGACTCGGGTTCATTCCCCAGCACCACGTGCTGTGCCAGCCCCGCCCCTCGGGTACGCTGAGCTGGCCACTGAGACAGGGCATGGTGGTGCACGCCTGTAATCCCAGCACTGGGGAGGCTGAAAATAGGCTCACTGCAAGTCCAAGGCGCGTAGTAAGCCCCTGTACCAAATATTTTTGAAAAAGAAAAAGTAAAGCCAAAACCAAGGCAGCATCAAAAAATCTAAACAAAATGAGAGCCCCATGATTTCCAAAGTAGGAGCAAGTGGTAGTAGTGAGGCAGGAGCGGTCATAAGGTGTTTGTGGTATCAGCAAAGGAATCCCTGAGGCATTTGGAGAACCTCAAAATAGCCAAAATATACGAGCATGAGAGCGCAGTGGTGTGTGGTACAGCGCTGCGGGTCTGGGCAACGTAGCTGCCGGAACTCTGCAAACTAACCCATACACTTCCTTCTAGGAGAGGAGCGAGCTGAGGACGAGCCGCTGGGCGCGGGACCAGCACTAAGCAGAACAGGGACAGGAAAGAAAAGATGCAGATGAACTGGGGCGCTGGGAATCGCCAAAGACAAACTGACTTTCAGTTTTAAATTGAATTAAAATCAGTAAAAATCAGATACTTTTAACTATGAAGTTAAAATTCTATCCTTAAAACTACCTCCTTAAAATGGTTTAAGGAAGCCTGTTTAAAACAAAAATAATCACAGGAAAGTATGGACATGAAATTCCATAGAAAATGATTTTAACAAAAGAGAATGAGAATAAAATTCCACCGTAAGACAGGCATACCAGAAAGCCATGGGCACTAAGCAAATCAAAACCACCACCTACTATTTCAAAATAAGCCAAAAGATATAAGTCACAATTAGAAACACTTGAGTTGAATTAGCAGTGAAAAATTGTGAAATACTCAAAAGAAACCCAAGGATGAATAAAGACAATTAACTATGCCTTCAGAGAAGGAGATGAAAAAGAAGAAAAATGTTAAGGTTGAAAAATAATTAAAAGAGACAAAACAGCTTACAGAGAAAGAAGCAAATACTGAAGATAGACAAAGGAGATCCAACCTAAAATAATCAGAGGTGCTGGAAGAAGAAAAAGGATAAGGAGAAAGAACAGATATTACAAATCATAGTTTGAAAGAACTTCCTTGACATTAAAGATATGTATTTGAAACTATATTGAAAGAACATGCTGCACTGGAGAATATCAACTTGGGCTTAATAGCACTAAGACACATTCTTGTACAACTAATAGACCTTAAAAAAATAATGAAAATTCCTTAGTGTACCTAGATTAAAAAAAAAAAAAAAAAGATTACCATCAGACTTTTTGGTAGCAATGACCTATTCCATGGAGTAACATATACTAAAAAAAAAAAAAAAAAAAAAAAGTGAGAGAAGAGTTATAATGGATTGAAACACAATGTGTATACTTGATCCACAAGATCAAAATGATATTTTAGAAAACAGCTGCCAGTCAGGGTTGCAGGATGATTGAAATCCCAACTCATTATATTATGCAGTGGCAAACACATGGGAAAAATCGATCCTTTATGCTGTATAGTACAGACCATACTGCTGTATGAACAACTACGACGTGAAAGGAACCATTTCCTCAGGAATAAATGTAGAAGAATAGAACCTGATCCCATCACTGTGAGGCTGCCGTGTCCCAAGCAAACCCAAGCTAGCAGCCAGGCCATGGCTAGGACTCTATACTGAGACATCCCAGCTAAGAGCCGACATGATTTCCTTTGAGTAGACGTTCTCTCAGTGTTTCCATCCCCAGCCGTTGAGTTGCCTGCAGACAATGAGTCTTCTAAGCTGAGACTCCAAATACTGCAGGCTAGAAATAATGGTGTGCTGTGCCACCGCACTGCTTGCCGCGGCAGTTGTCCATATCTCTTAACTCCACCTGTGACATCATGTTGGTAGGAGTATTTACACCCAGGGAATTAACTAATGCTTTAAGTCAGGAGACTTTCTTCTATTCTTGTCTGAATTCCCAGAATTCGTAAGCTAAGCTTAGTTGAATGGTGTTTTATGTGTTTCACCCAGTTGTAAAGTCATTCATTATACAGTGATACTGTAGTTACTGAAACAGCAAGGAAGGGTTATTACAGAGATAGTGGCTTATTTTCTAGGGAAAGAAGCAATCAAAATCAGAATCTCTGCGATCTGGGATGGCTAGCAGATTCCCTCTACAAAATCGCTTTGTTGGAGGCTGGGAAGATAGCTCAGTGGTCTAAGCCCCTGCCCGGCAAGCGTGAAGACCTGAGTTCGATCCCTGGCATCCCCTGCCATGCCTGCCCCAGAATAAGCCATGCTGACCCCAAAACTGGTGCACACCTAAAATCCCAGCTCTGGGGAGGCTGAGACACAAGGATCACTACAAGTCTGAACTGCGGTATGAGACCCTGTATCCAATAAAATGAATAAACAAATAAAATTCTTTTGTTATTTTTATTTTTTATTTTTTTGAGGGGATCTTCCTATGTTGCTCATGGTAGTCTTAGATTTCTGGATTCTAAAAAAAGAAAATTAAAAAAAAAAGATTCTAGCACTTCTCCTACCACACACTCAAGTACTGGGAGTATAAAATTTCTTATTTTCAGGGGTGACTGTAGAAGTATTTATTTTGCAGTAATCATTGAACTCATATATTTGTTTTTGTGATTTTCTATGTCACTTAATAAAAATTTCTTTAAAAGTCTTAAGATGATTTTATTACCAATATTATTTACTAAAAATAATACATTTTGACATGAAATAATTGTATGAAACAATTTTTAAAAATTGAAGCCTAAGTTATGGAAGACCATTGGAACCCAGTAATGATATGAATATACTCAAAATTTAGACAGCCATAGCATTTTAAAGGGAAGAACGTTTACAGTGCAGTCTCTTGTTAGTCTAAGTTACTCCCATTGATCAAAAACCAAAACATGCCTACTTTATTCCAAATATAATATTACAATTAATTTAAAATATGCCAGAGTTTAGGGGATGTAAGAATAAGTTCCTAGTGTTTCTTACTGTTTTACATACAGCAGAATTCTGATGTATTAATACAGTTCTATAGTAAATGAGTTGAACATACATGATGTTCTTATTGTAATGTATCAAGTCTTGTACGTTTGGCTAGATAGTACGTTAGTCCCTAATATTTGGTTCCAAATATTTAGAAAAAATTGTGGTGACATTGAGAACAACAGGGTAAAGCTAGCAGTGTAACGGTGGTATAATAGCAGTCTGGCATAGCATGCTGTGCAAGCCCCTCATGCATGAGCTGTGCCGTGTCGGCAGAGACATAGCTTACATGGTATGATTGAAGGAGTGCAAGACAGGTCTTAAAAATGGTTGGCCTGGTACAGGCTCTGAAACTCCACCAGTAGAACACGCTCCTTTGGATCTGTAAGATAAACTTCCTTAGCAAATGTTGCGCCCAAAGTTGTTTGCAGCCAATACCTTGGCAGGAAGTGGGGGGTTGCAAATCTAAGCAAGCAAGCCTTGGGTGGTGCTGGTATGGGTTGTATACCTGGGACAGGTGAGAGAGACCTTAGGAGAGAGAGAGAGAGAGAGAGAGAGAGAGAGAGAGAGAGAGAGAGAGAGAGAGAGATCATGAACAGAGATGCAGATAATCCTAAAGATCTTTCCCTTCTTCACACCAACTCTTGTCATAAGCTTCTGAACCCACTGTGAAAATTCTATTTTTTTCCAGGATATGGCAGTAAGTCTTAAAGTTTTTTTGTGTACCAAAAGAAAGTTTTAGAAATGAGGTAAAATGAAATATGTTAACCATTGGGTCAAATAGACACATGCAGCAAAATAAAAATGGGTAATCATTTTATTTATTAAATGACATCGTTTATTAAATTTCAAAGCCCCCTCCCCCGGGCCAGGCAACATTTGATCAGCCTTTATTTCTTTATTATATTTAATTTTTGATAACTGTAGCCAAGGTCAAGTATTCTAATCTGGCTATGAAAAGCACAGTCCTATTTTAAGAGAAAAGATTCATCACATTTAGGTGTTAGCATCTCTGATCACTTCAGTGGTCTGGTGTCGTGGCATAGGCCACAGCCTCCCTTTCAGTTTCTGACCCTGTCTATATCTGTTCTCGTATCTCTGTGTGTCTTTCTATGTTTTCCTTTCCTTGCTTGCCAGTGTATGGTCCCCTCCCGTGGCATTCACACTGAGCTGATATCCCCAGACTCCCCTAGTTCCACTTTGTACTTTGGGGCAGTTCTCAGTAAGTGACTAAGTTGCTCAGGTTGGGCTCAAACTTGGGATCCTTCTGCCTCATCCTTTCAGAGTTAAGATTACATCATGTACCACACCTGGCTTTTGTAACGGTCATTTTCCACTTCTATTTGATACATGCCCCCGTCCTACCAAGCCCTGGGTGTTTTACCCTGTGGTTCTTTCTGAGCATGAGGCACTTTGCTGCAGTGAGAGTTGTTAGTGACTCCAGGCAGGAGGCTGCCCTCAGAGACCTCGTAAGGGGTGCTTTTGGAAAGAAGGGGAAACACTCAGGTCATGGACGTTAGCCCCAAGAACTGCCTCAAGGAACTCATGCAATACAACAACTGGTTCTAACTTTAAGACTATTTTTACTTAGCAACTGATAGTGGAACTGCCAACTGTCACCTTAAGACTGGCTTTACACAGGATAGGACTGTGACCTTACTGGGAAATCAGAGTTTCCTGCTTTTCCGAGCACTGAGAGCATTACTGAATTTTCTTTTATAATTACTTGCATAGATTTCTTCGCCCTAGTAACCCTCTAACTTTTCCCTTTCTCTCTATATATGCCGGAGCCCATTTGACCTATGTATGTTTGTCCCAGATTCCAATCTTATTCTTCGATCCCCCCCCCCGAAGTTCATTTATTAGAGGCTTATCTCTATTTTTGTTTGGCTTCCACTGTTGGAACTTCAAGTTGAAGCCTAACACCTTGTGTACCAGCCTTGAGCAGTCTCTGTGGTTCTTGAATCTGTATTCTTTAGTTTTTAGCTACAGCTTTCCCTAAACCTGCAGACAGCAATGTGATTAATTTGTATTTGCCATGGGACTGTTCAACAGCAAAAAAAAAAAAATCGTACTGGATATTTTACTTTTAGACCTCAACAAAACTTGTGATCACATTGTGGTGTTTGATATAATGGTGTATTTCCTCCCATTTTGTGACTTAAAAACATAAAAGAAAAACCACTATAAGTAACACATTTTGTATGTGACTCCTTCCCATTTCTCCTTATAGCTCATGATTTTATTTCTTATTCCTTCCCACCCCTCCTTTTTTATGTTTGCTTTCTTTTTAATTTCACTTTCTTACTTAGTTGTTTATTCCTTAAGTGATTTTGTGGTGACTTAAATTCCTAACAGTTTCTCAGGCTGTCTGGCGGCCCTCAGGTATAGAGATGGGATTATCTTGTATGCTGATAAAGCTGTTTATCTCCATGTGCATATTGTTGCTTTCGTGTGATCCTACTCCATCTAAAAAGCTCCGTTGACTAATACATGCTGACAGAATACTACTTTAAATTCAGCGCATTAAAATTTTGATCAGGTGCAAATTTTCCACATTTTTTAATGAAGATGTTTCCAGTAATCAAAGAAGTTTAGATGGCTAGTGGTGTCCATTCATGGTTCTGATTTTGAAAAAAAAAAGAAAAAAAGAAAAAAATCGAGGAAACAAAGCTGATCAGCATTCAACTTTCGCAGTTTTCTCTGGCTTAACCCTTTGCTCTTCCACTGTAATTGCAGACACCACTACCAAGTTACTTACACTGCTGGCGTGTCCCGATCTGTCTAATTTGCCCTGAACAGATTTAACATTCCTCGGATGGCTGTGTAAACTTCTTGATCTCAGCGAAGGGAATCCCAAAGTTTGGTCCTGTTTCACAGACAGCAAGTTTTCTCTTTCAGTCCTGCCAGTGACCGTGAGGGATAAGTGAGAGATCTCGGAGACCCTGGGGGAAGTGTAAGGGTCAGCCTCGGCGTCTGACGAGTGCCCTTGGTGCTCGGCCTGCACCATCGCTTCTGACACGATGCAGGGAATGTCTGTGCTGCGAGACCGGGTGATCTTCTGAACTTGGTATTTCCACTCCGTCGTCCACTGCTGGACTGTGGAAGGGCTGCCTGGGTCCATGCTAGAGCTGTACTCCGCACCCCCGTTGTTATGTCCCCCGACCAGCTTTCTCCCTTCAGAATACACAAAGCTCCTGGACTTCATTGATTTATAGGTATTAAGCTCATCATCTGGGTAATAGCGTGCGATTTTGGTGTCTCCAAGGGGAGAGGCCACAGCCCCTTCTATCTTTGCTGTTTCCACTGTTAGCTGAGCGTTTGGAAAATCTGTTTTGTTTTGCCCATGCATAACATCTGTTGGATTTAAACTTTGGAAACTATTTCCTTCTCTTTTAGAGTCAGTCTGCCTTTCATCTTCTTCCATTGAAATCCCAATATCTGGACCTAATTTGGGCTCTGAAGTGTTCTTGGAGTCTTCTACTGCAAGTCGACTATGGTTGGGTGTTGCTGGTGGGCTAGGGCTGGAGAAGTGAAGGCTACCTTGACGTTCTGGGACTAGATGTATTTTCGTATCCTTCTCCTTCTCTTCCTTCACACGGAAGGAACAGGCTCTTTTCCGGAACCCTGCTCCTGGGGGCATGGAGAGAGTAGTATCTTCAAACAATAACTCCTCCCCGTTAAAATGATAACGATACAGGCTGTAGCCATCCGCACTGTTGATGCTGCTTTGCCTGAGAAGAAAAGTTGCATCACATTCAGATGAAGCTCGGGACCGGGTCTGTATCAGATCGGACCTATCAATTCCTGCCAGATTTTCAAGAGCATTTGCCATTCTGCTGGATATTTCTTCAAGTTGAGAAAGTCGAAGATCAACAGTCTGCAGGGAAGTTTTCATGAAATTTTCTCTTTCATTGATTTCTTCTAACCTCATTGACATATTTTCAACCCTGGTGAATACAAAGGGATAGATTGATTAAACTGAAATGAACTGAATATTAAAAGTGAAAAGGTAAGTGTTCTTGCTAAATTATTTTTCAGACTTTTGGGAATCATGGAACTTAATGGGAATAGGTATAGACTTTGCATATCCTAATATAACTCTTACGAAGACCATGAGGAACAGCAGACAAGAATAAAAATAAATTAACAGGCATAGTGCTTAGTATTGACCAGTCATTTTGTGGAATGCTTATGCATTCACTAATGTGTTACTCTAGCCTTAGTAAGTCTCGCGATAGCCCTGTGAGGTAGGCACTGTCATTATCACCCTCCTTTTGTGGACAAGGAAATTAAGTCATAGAAAATATGAGTTGGCCAGGGGTGCACAGCCAGGAAGTCATCAATCTGGAACTTAGAAGCATCATCTAGCTCTAATAAGCCTTGTTGCAGCTCTATTTTAACTGGCATATTACGCTACCTCTAGAGATAAAAGAAAGGTCATCCTTTGGTATCCATGGGCGATTCAATAACAAATCCACAGACTGGGTAGCAAATTTCTTCCATAAAATGTTGTATCATTTCCGAATAACCTGTGTACATCTTCTCCACTTAAATCATCTCTACATTATTTATAATACCTAGTACAATGTAAATGTCATGCAAGTAGTTGTACTCTATTGTTTAGGGAATGAAGGCCAAGAACAGAGGCTGCAGACGTGTGGTACAGGTGCCATTTTCCTATTTTGGAATATTTTCAATGGGAGATGGGTTGAATCCATAGACATAGAGTCCATGGATATGGGGGGGAGGGCACTTGTACTTGCATTTGTCTTTGGAGTTTTAGTCATGACCATGACCATCAGCAATAAATGGTTGTAACTAAATAAATAAATACACTGAAGTCTGTATTTGTGTTTCAAGGAACCCAAAGGGGCTGGAGATATAGCTCAGTGTCAGGGAACCCTTGGATTTGACCCCTAGTACTGAAAAAAAAGTTCAGATTATCAGATGGTTTTCTTAAGGATACCAGTAACTTTAAATTGCACCTTATATTTAACAGTTAGTGTTCCATTAATGAAGTTACATAAGGAAAGATAATGGCTGAGCATTTGGTGTCGGGCCAGTTTTTAAAGAACTCCTAGATGATCAGCCTTCAGCCTATAAGGCTATAATGTTGCTGGGACTAAAATCCACCAGAATAGATTTGCATATATATTTCAAAATGTACAGTACAGATTCCTTCAATAGGTTCATGAAATTAACTCTAAGAGGCAATGAAATTTGCCCAGGAGGTAGATTGTCCCCTAAAAGTTGAATTTGTCCCAGTCTGTTTCTAGAAGGTCATGGCTACCCTCACTACAGACCCTTATAAATCCTTTGCCCGCTCTGCCTGCTTTCCTCTTGACCTGCCACCCCCTTTCTGATCTCCTGCACAGCGACTCCTGCTCTTAGTTTGCATTGCAAAGCTGCTGTTCGGTGGCGCCTGACTGCAGCTCCTGCGCTCCTTGCGCCCTCTGCCCTCTGCGGCAGCCTGGCTTGGCTTCTCCCAGAGTTGCTTTTGCTAATGCTGCTCCCGTTGGCCACATTGACAGCTGCGTTCTGATGTGTGGCGGGGCTTTTATTCCTATCTTCTTGGGGAGGCAAACTGTCTTTATGGCCCTTAGGAAGCCACATCATCTGAGCAGGAAGGGTCTGGCTTCCTGGAAGTTTGCCAGCAACGAGGACCAAATTTGTCACGAGGAAAAGACCTGGCCTCCTTCTTGTAAACCATCTCTAGCACTGACCTGTATGTAGGGCCTGAGGATCCATGGAGGAAATTCTTGCTATAAACTTTCCATTAGTTTTGTATAAGACTTGGTGTTCTCTGTTAATTATAATGACTTTTGATCCCTTCAAATCTATTATGCTCCATGATTCCTATTGTATTAAAACCATATTGCCTCTAATAGTCAAACTCAAAATCCTTTAACACTAAAGTAAGAGACCATGTAGATTTGCAAACTTTTAAAACTAATAGTAAATAAAGATAACTATCTTTCCTCAAATCTGTAATTCTGCCTATTTTTCTCCTTTATTACTTAATTCTGATAACAACATTGCTAGTCACTCACACATAAAAGAGAAACTTTGAAGTCACTGGATTCCTTGGTCTCAATTATGCCTGCTGTCTCCCTTCACCTCCCTCTCCTCCCTCTGCATTTAGTTTCCAAGTTCTTTGAGAAGTCTCTTTTTATCTCAAATCAGCCATCTCTAGTGTCACTCCCTTCATTGTGGTTGTGGGAGAAAACAATGTTTTATAATCTGGTTTAGGGTAAGGAAACCGGTCAAATGCTTGTTTAGATCTTGTAAATGGTTGCTGCATGGAGACATCAAATTTCAAACAGCTATGCACATCAAAGGAGGTTGTATTGAGTTGTTTTGGTGGTGGGTGTTTTTGAACTGAAATTTCCCTGTTTCCTCCTGGGCCCAGGTGCTCCGTCTACCTTAACCCCCCAAGTACCTGGGGCTCCAGGGGCCACTGTTCCAGGTGAGTTTTCATACTGTGTGTGAAAGAAGAAAGGGACAAAGTGTGCAAGGTCAGTGAGGACTCAGGACATAAGAGAACCTGTACTGTAATATTACATAACTCAGTTGTGTCCCAAATTTTCTGATCAAGGAGATTTTGGGGCCACAGAGGAAAGTGATCGATGATGTAGCGTATGCCTAAGGAGAGTCACATGGAGAGAAAACATTCTCTCAGGCTTTCACAGAGAGCAAATGGGTCAAGCAATGGCCGTGACTCATCCACATGGCTCACACTGACAAAGGATCTACAAACTGCGGTACAGGGTTTCAGGATAAATCCTGATGGGATTTGACTGACCTTGGCAGATAGAAAAGTTACATTTCTTGTTATATAGGTCTTGCTTTATCTTGGTCTTAACCATCTAGCAGAAAAGTATAAAAACAAAGCATAAAAAGTAAAGCCATATTAATATGCTGAGCTGTAAAAGGCTCAAGTGAACAACTTCTGACATTGCCAGTCTTATGGAAAACCCCCTACTATTATGGACTCCTGGACTATATTGGATTATTTTGCTGAATTCACATACCTACAATATTTAAGTGACAATGGAATACCCATCTCTGACAAAGCTAAACAAAAAGGGGATACAAATGAAGGACCATTTTGTATCTGTATATTCAAGATAGGATAGATATACAGCTACTTTTCCTTAATTCAGTGAATAGAAAGAGTTGTTCGTGGACAGGATATCATGTCTGCATCTTGTACTATGAATAACCACTATGAAGACAACAATATGCAATGTATTAATTATTGAAACTGCCCTACTAATCAGTTTTGAAACTGTCTCATTGCTATTTATCAATAAAATTATTTTTAAAAAATTAAATTAAAAAATTGTGCTAGAATTTTGGGATTTCAATTATTACGTGTTTTGGAGAAATACCTCTTTGGTCATGATTATTTTGGTTTCTCCATATTTCATTTAATTAGAACTTGAATCTCTTCCCCAAGCTTAGAAAATTTTCTGGTGTGTTTTTAAAAATAAATGTTATATTATTTATGCTAAAAAAAAAAAAGGAACAAAGTGTGTTTGAATTCAGCTGTCTCCAAAATGATTAACTAAATGGACAAATGCTAGCCACGGTAGAGACTTCTCCTAGTTAGTGTTTCACCAGCCTTGACACACACAAGGAGTGGTTTCTGCCTCTTGGAGGGAAAGACAGGCCTTCTAGGACCAGCTCGGCCATCTGTTTATGCACTGAAGGACGGGACAATCCTGGGAAGCCCACTGTTTGTGATAGAGCTCTTAGAAAACACTGATCAGCAAATGCATCAGTTTGTTTCACTCTCTAAGTCTTCAGCTTCTCATCCAGCAGAGTGAGGTAGTTTTCAGCACAGCACAGAACACAGAGGTATTTTAGATCCAAGTGATTTTCTTTTTTTAAAAAAATTAAAGTTAATTCCTTCCTAATGAATGATCTATTTCTAGTATGAGTGTCCCATGCATAGTACCTGTTAAAGGACATTTTGATTGTTTCAGATCTGCTAGAGACATTCATGTATAGTATATGTTTTATGTGACTACAAATTTCCATTTCTTTAAGGTGAATAGGTAGGCATCAATACCTGGGATTATTGGTTCATCTAAGTGTGTGTTTAACATCATAAGAAATTGCTATAGTTTTATGTTGTATATTTGAATTGATGATCATTTTAGCTTTTTGTTTATGGTGAGATCTTTTTTTACATGACAGCGTCAAACAGTTCTGGTTAAGAAGACTAGCTATTGTTCATTGAATTACTTTTGCATATGTGGGGGGAAAATCAATTTTGGTAAGATTTCACTAGGCATTGCACTACATTTGTAGATCAATCAATACCTGTACTATATTGAGTTTCCAAGTCTTCTAATACATTAATATAATGTTTCCTCATTTATTTAAGTCATTGTTAACTCCTGCGATTTGCATTTTCTGCCAACAGAGCCCATCCATGTTTTATTATATTTTAATCTAAGGGCATCATTTTTGTCAGCGTTCTTTGTAGAATGGTATTGTTGAAAAACTTTTTTGAGTTCAATTACGTATTACTAGTATAAAAAATAAGATTCATTTTTGGGTGTTGATCTTATGTTCTGAGTCCTGCTACATTCACTTCTTGGTCTGTGAGGCTTTTCATTGTTACCATTTTGTTCTTTAAGGTTTTTTGTAATCCTATACATAGACAGGTTGCTTACAAGTAGTCATAGCTTTATTTTTTTTATTTCTTTTTCTTGCTTTACTGCACTGATAAGACTTCCAGTACATTGTTAAATACTGATGACAGTGACCATTTTTCTTGTTTCATATTTTAGAAAAAAAGGATTTCATCTTTCACCAGTTAGCTATACATTTTTATAAATTCCATTTATCCAAAGAGGAGATTCATTTTCGTTCCTAGTTTTTGCTGAGAAGTTTTTTGTTTTTTAGACAGGGTCTCACTATGAAGTTCAGGTGGGCA